CATCTGGTGGGAGGGCGTTCTACAGGGCAGGCACCACCACCGAGAAGGCCCTCTGCCTGGTTCCCTGTAACCTCACTTCTCGCAGGGAGGGAACTGCCAGAAGGCCCTCGGAGCTGGACCTCAGTGTCCAGGCTGGATGATGGGGGTGGAGACGCTCCTTCAGGTCTACTGGGCCTTTGAGGCCGTTTAGAGCTTTCAAGGTCAGCACCAACACTTTGAATTGTGCCCAGAAACGTCCTGGGAGCCAATGCAGATCTCTCAGGACCGGTGTTATATGGTCTCGGCGGCCGCTCCCAGTCACCAGTCTAGCTGCCGCATTCTGGATTAGTTGCAGTTTCCAGCTCACCTTCAAAGGTAGCCCCACGTAGAGCGCACGGCAGTAGTCCAAGCGGGAGATAACCAGAGCATGCACCACTCTGGCGAGACAGTCCGCGGGCAGATAGGGTCTCATCCTGCGTACCAGATGGTCGGCCACTGTGAGATCAGGATGCTGGACCTGGTAGGCCATTGGCCTATGCCCCACCCATCCTCGTTTGACCTTCTTGCCTCCAGCCTCCTTCCCAAATGGGCGGCAGATGCAAAGGCTGTGAGGAGGAGGTCCTGGTGCCCAGGGGGACCCTAACGGAGGACTGTCTTGCCTTGCCAGCCTCCAGCAGGAGCTGCGTCCAGCCTGGACTGAGCCAGAGGAGAAGAGAGGCCCTGCTGAGCCGCATGAGGCACCCATGGGACTCCCCTCCTGCCGGTCCTGATGCAGTGCGTGGTAAGTCTCGCCTGGCCCAGAAGGTGGGATGTGATTCTGAAGAGGGGGCACTATGTGTGTGTTTTTGCTTTTCTTAGTAAAATAATGACCTTTCTGGGTCTGGCAGGCTGAGATGGAGGTCAGGACATGGCCATCCAACCTCTGCTTAAGAATCTCCAAGGGAGGAGAGTCCACCCCCTCCCAAAAGAGACCATTTTGCTGCCAAGCAGCTCTTACTGCAGGAAGTTCTTCCTGCTGTTTAGCTGGAATCTCCTTCCTTGTAACTTGAAGCCATGGGTTCGAGTCCTGCCCTCCACAGCAGGAGAAAACAAGCATGTTCCCTCTTCTATGTGACAGCGCTTCAGATATTTGAAGATGGCTCTCATATCTCCTCTCAGTGTCCTCTTCTCCAAGCTAAGCACACCCAACTCCTTCAACCGCTCTTCATAAGGATAAATTGTCAACATCCTTCTTAAATTGTGGTGCCCGAACTGGACACAATATTCCAGGTCTGGTCTGACCAAGGCAGACTAGAGTGGGACTCTTACTTCCCTTGATCTGGACACTCGATTTCTGTGGATGCAGCCTAGAATAACATTAGCCTTTTTTGCTGCTGCATCACACTGTGGACTCATGTGAAGCTTGTGGTCTACTAAGACCCGGAGATCCTTCTAAAGAGAAGGCAAGCAAGAGGAGATGAGATGTGATGGAGATGGAATGAGGATTAAATTTGTAAATTAAAATGTAAACCACCTGTTCTGTGTGTGAGAGAGAAATATGAGAGTAAACAGGCTGTGAAGACCTTTTAGCAGAGTAAAAACACGTGTGCTTTTGCAGCTTACTAGAAGCAAAGAATTAGTAAATGACACCTGTTCGTCCCCGTTTATTTGTGGTTTCCTCACCTTGCCCTCTTTGTCCCCGTTGCTAAGAATGAACCACGCGCTTTAGTAAGATAAACTAAAAGGTTTACTTACATTTCAATGCAGGCAGCAAATACATCAAAGCAAAATGCCCGCCAAAGCATTAAGGAAATGACCTTAATTCCCTTTGGGCCATCTGGTGGGGTCCTCTGAGGATGCTGGACTAGATGGCCTGATCTTAGGGAGCCTCCCAGTCCAGAGGCAGTCTATCTAGATTCCTAGGTTCCAATCTCTGGGGCACTGGGGAAACAGGATGCTGGACTAACCTTCTCTCTCACCAGCAGGTTGACCTGAAGTTGCGGGTGGAGAAGCTGAACGTGAGGATGGTGCCTGGCGCCGCTGGGCCAGGTGACGGCCCCAGCCCCCGGCTCCCACGAGAGTCCAAGGAAGACCGGGAAGAGAAGGTCCTGGCCATGCTGGGCATTGTGGGCACCATCCTGAACCTCCTCGTGATCATCTTTGTCTACATTTACACCACCATCTGAGCCCCAGTGCCTCCTCTTCTGCCACCCGGGCACAGAGAGATGGGAACTTTTGCACAGCCAGAAGGCAGAAGCGCCTGGGCTGGTGCCGACCTGTGCCAGCCGGGCCCAGGAGGGACTTTGCCCGCCTGCCTTTGCCGCCTTCAGGAAGTTGCCGACGAGACTTGGCTTTGCAGCAGCCCGAAGCTGCTGGGATTGTGACCGCCCAGTGGGGCTGGGTGATGCCAGCTCTGCGTGACGCCCCCTTGGACGCGTGCCAGGCTGCCAGCTGTGGCACATCTGGGGACGATGCAGGGTGACCCTTTCCGGGGCACTTGGCCCACCGATGCCAGCGCCTGCCAGAGGCCTCTTCTACCCTGCTGCCCCCACCCCTTGCAGCAGACGCTGAGTTGGGGAGGGGGGCCTTGACTGCCTGGCCTTTGTGCCCCATGCCTGTCACCTCGAACACCAAGAAGCACAAGGAATTCTCTCTCTCTCCCCCCCTACAACACCTGCCCTTGCAAGCTGCCCACTGCCACAGAGGGCGAGGAAGGTTGGGGGAGGGGAGCCTTGGGGGAGGGGGCCGGGAGAAGCCCCTCCTGCCCAGGGTTCTTCCTCCCTGCCCCCTGCAAATTTGACACCAGCCTCCCTGAGCCTCCCCCACCTGCAGCCATGGAGGGCAGCTCCTGCAGCCACCGGCGCCCCTTCTGAGGCTGGGGTCCTGTAGCCTGGCACTGAGTGTGCCCCCTTGCCAAGCCAGCTGCCCACCCCCACCAGACCCCCTCAGAGCTTCCTAGGGACCCTTCCCCTCCTGCCTGAAAGACCCTCAGTGCACGGGGGTGCGGGGGGGGGCTTTTTTTGGAATGGTCTTCCTTGTGCACCCCCAGCCTTAACACACAGCTCCCTCCACCCGGAGGCTCCGTTCAAAGTACATTCTGGAGCAGGATATGGGGAGGCTTTTGGGGCAGGGAGGGCTCAGCCAGACCCCCCTAACTCCAAAGTGCTTTATTAAACTTCCTGGTGAAATTTCGCCCCTGGAATAGCGCCCCCTATGGGGCAGGTGGAGACCTGTGCAGGATGGAGCCCAGAGGAGGCCTGGTACTCGCTCCAAGGGCAGAGCAGGTGCCCGAGGGATGAGGGGAAACGCCCAGCAGCTGGCAGGGGGGCAGAGGGCCCTGTTCTGGGGTTGGTTTCCTTGCCAAGTTTCTCCCCCATTTCTGGCAAGATTGAGAGATTTGTAGGAGGTGGGTGTCGCAGGGAACTCGGCCATAGCACCCCCGGCCACCAGGATTCTCCAGGGAGGGGGCTGGTACAGGAATTGTCCCCATCCGTAGAAGACCCTGCAGGGACCTTTGCGTCACCCTGGGAGGGGCAGCCTCCTTGGCGCTTCCACACTCCATGCAGGGGGGCCCTGGGGCTGGGGGGGGGGGCTGCAGTGTAGCCTAGACTTTTGGGAAGGGGCCCAAACCCAGGAATCTTTTCTTTAGAAAAACAAAACAGCCACCCCCCTCGAAACCCCTTAATCGTCTTCTTCCTCCTCCCAAGCGAGTCTCCTGCTGGGACCAACTTCTGGGGTCTTCACCTTTGTGCCAGAGCAACACTACGGGGGTGGTGATGGGGGGGGCGAGAGGTGGCCGCTCTTGACTCCAGCACCGTGCCAAGCAGGGAGGGAGGGGTTGTGCTTTTCTAACAACCATGTTGTAATTGTGAAATTTTATATGCAACCGAGTTTGAAATAATCACAAGGAAATATTTATGGACGTAAAAGACGGGGTCTGCCCATGTGTTTGCCTGCAGCTCTCGCATCGCAAGGAGTGTGTGTTTGTGCGCGTTTGTGTCCTTGGGTTAGGCCTGTGCGTGTCTTCCTGGGTGACCAGCACCTCCAGCTCCTGGGCACTTGCCCTCTGGCTTGCAAAAAACGGGAGAGGAAGCCAGGCGGGTCTGGGGCTGTTGCCACCACCTTCCCCACAATTGCCTTCCAAAGAGGGCGCAGGCAGGTCAGGTTCTGCGGCCTGGACCTTCGCAGAATGAGCTTCCTGCTCCAAGGAGTGGCTGAGCCCTTTCCCTCCTCTCCTCTTGCTCCCAAGGCAGATTCTTGGAAATTTCCCTGGCAGGACCGTGCTTCCTTTCTGGGCATTCCTTGCCACAAGCCATGACTGCTTCTTCTCTTCTTCTCTGGCTATCCCTCGTAGCCGAGTAAGATTGTCTTCCATGATCACAGTTTCAACCATGAGTCCGTAAGTGACTGTGGAGGCCAATTCTGGATCCACACGTCCTTCCACAGTGGGGACATGGGTTCCCGGGTGGGAGTTGATCACGGTGAGGGTTTGCCAAGCGTGCCTTCCTCTGAGCACGTTTCTCCCTTGCGTTCTGAGTTCGAGTGTCTTCAAAGCCCAGGACACCTTTGGTAAAGGCTGTTCTCCAACTGGAGCGCTCGCAGGCCAGTGTTTCCCAATTGTTGGTGTTTATACTACATTTTTAAAGATTTGCCTTGAGACAGTCTTTAAACCTCTTTTGTTGACCGCCAGCATTACGCTTTCCCTTTTTAAGTTGGGAATAGAGTAGTTGCTTTGGAAGACGATCATCAGGCATCCGCACAACATGACCAGTCCAACAAAGTTGATGTTGAAGAATCATTGCTTTGACACTGGTGATCTTTGCTTCTTTCAGTATGCTGGCATTAGTTCACCCGTCTTCCCAAGCGAGGTGTAAAAAATTTCAGACACACCATTGATGGAATCTTTCGAGGTGTTGGAGATGGCGTTTATAAGTGGTCCATGTTTCACAAGCATACAGTAAAATTGGTAGTACAATAGCTTTGTAAACAAGCATTTTGGTTTCCCTGTGAATGTCCCGGTCCTCAAACACTCTGCACTTCAGTCGGGAGAAAGCCGCACTCGCAGAGCTCACGCAATGCTGGATTTCAGCATCAGTCGTGGCCCTTGTGGAAAGACCTGATCCTGCACCACGGACCTTTCAGATACTCCTCAGCAAGGGGGCAGGCAGGGAGCTCGGGGTCACGGAACTGCAGTGGCGTCATGAAATGAGAGATTCTGAGCCTGCAACCCAGATTTAGAGGAGTGTATCAAAAGGAAGACAAGTCGAAAGGAAGGCAGCCACATGCCAAGTTCAAGGCAGCCCAGCCCTGGATCCCTATGGAAAGGGCCCAAGAATCCTCTGCAATGCACAGAGTTGCCCAGCTGGTGTCCAGGGGGGGCCTTGCAAGCTTCAGAACAGAAGACCATAATAATAATAATTTATTACTTATACCCCGCCCATCTGGCTGGGTTTCCCAAGCCATGTTGGGTGGCTTCCAACAAAAGATTAAAAATACATTAAAACATCAGTCATTAAAAATAAATTAAAACATCAGTCATTAAAAACTTCCCTAAACAGGGCTGCCTTTAGATGACTTCTAAACATCAGATAGTTGTTTATTTCTTTGGCATCTGATGGGAGGGCGTTCCACAGGGCAGGTGCCACTACTGAGAAGGCCCTCTGCCTGGTTCCCTGTAACCTCACTTATTGTAGTGGGGGAACCGCCAGCAGACCCCCAGAGATGGACCCTGGTGTCTGGGCTGAACGATGGGGGTGGAGATGTTCCATCAGGTCTACTGGGCCTTTGAGGCCATTTAGGGCTTTCAAGGTCAACACCAACACTTTGAATTGTGCCCAGAAATGTCCTGGGAGCCAATGTAGGTCTTTCAGGACCGGTGTTCTGTGGTCTTGGCGGCCGCTCCCAGTCCCCAGTCTAGCTGCTGCATTCTGGATTAATTGCAGTTTCCGCGTCACCTTCAAAGGGAGCCCCACAGAGAGTGCATTGCAGTACAGTGGTGCCTCGCAAGACGAAATTAATTCGTTCCGCGAGTTTTGTCGTCTTGCGATTTTTTTGTCTTGCGAAGCACGGTGTCAGGAAAGTTTTGGAAAAGCTTCAAAAATCACCAAAGTCTTCAAAAACCTCAAAAAAGGCTACCACACCGCATTCTATGAGTTGCTCCTTGAAGTCAAGTCGCAACTGTATTAACGGTGTTAAGAAAAAGGAAACAAACTTACAAGAAGTTTCTGTCTTGCGAAGCAAGCCCATAGGGAAAATCGTCTTGCGAAGCAGCTCAAGAAACCAAAAACCCTTTCGTCTAGCGGGTTTTTTGTCTTGCGAGGCATTTGTCTTGCGAGGTACCACTGTAGTCAAAGCGGGAGATAACCAGAGCATGCACCACTCTGGTGAGGCAGTCTGCAGGCAGGGAGGGTCTCATCCTGCATACCAGATGGAGCTGAGAGACATCTGCCCTGGACACAGAATGGACCTGTGCCTCCATGGACAGCTGTGAGTCCAGAATGACTCCCAGGCTGCGCACCTGGTCCTTCAGGGGCACAGTTACCCCATTCAGGACCAGGGAATCCCCCACACCTGCCTGCCCCCTGTCCCCCCAAAACAGTACTTCTGTCTTGTCAGGATTCAACCTCAATCTGTTAGCCGCCATCCATCCTCCAACCGCCTCCAGGCACTCACCCAGGACCTTCACCGCCTTCACTGGTTCTGATTTGAAAGAGAGGTAGACCACAAGAAGCGCCTTCTGGATCAGGCCACAGGGGCCCATCTAGCCTGGCATCTGGTTCTCACCATGCCCCCCCCCCCATGCATGGCATGGAGAAGGCGGAGAGAAGCGGAAGGTTTGCAGCGTCGGGGCAGACAAAGGGAGGATTTCTTCTCCCCAGGCAGAGTTGGGGGGCGGAGCCACAGCCCCCCTGGAAGCCCACGGGAATCCTGGGAAGTCGTGTTTAAGGATGCTAGAGAGGAAACTACAGGTCCCAGGATTCTTCGGGAGAAGCCCTGCGCTTTCAGGGTTTGGAGGTCTCTCTGTAAATGGACGGCACTCCTAAACCCTGGAACTCCCTTCCGCAGGAGGCAGCGACTTGGAGGAGACTTTGGAGAGGGAAGGAGAGGCGGCGAGGGATCCCGGGCTCCTCGCGGCGGTGAGTGTGGGGAGACTCCGGCTGCGCTGCTCGGCGCCTCCTTGGCGGCTTCTCCCCCCCGGGGCATATTTTGGCCCCTGCGAGGACAGGATACTGGAGGAGATGAGTCCCCTTGCGCCCGATCCAGCCTCTGCAGGACCCGCCTTTGGTTCCCGGGTCCTGCTTGGCCTTTACGCGCCGCCTCCTGCGCCAGCGATGCTTGCAGCAAAGCGGCCGCGTTTCATTGTCCAAATGAGCGGAGCTACGGAACTCCCTGCCACTGGAGGCAAGGAAGGCCACCCACCTGGGGGGGCTTCCCAAGGGGACGGGACCCATTCCCAGAGGAGGAGAGGGCTTTGGGGGCTCCCGGCCAGGATGGCTGGGCTCTGCTTCCACAGTGGGAGGCAGGCAGTGCTTATGAATCCCCAGGAGGGGAGACGGCTCTGGGATGCTCGGATCCTGCTCGGCCACTGCGGGAAGAGGATGCTGGGCCGGAGGGCCTCTCTTTTGCCTCATCCAGCAGCCCCCATAGCAGACGGCGGCCGAGGGAGGGAGAGAGGGACCCCCCCTCCGGGCAGAGCCCATCTCTGGCTCCCTGCGCCCAGCCAAGGTCCGGTCCAGCCGGCCCGGGCGCGAGGGACGGGGCGGCCGCGCTGTGGGGGCGCCCAGTCCCGCCCCCTCCCCGCGGCGAGCCCGCCCCGACGGCACCTGCGCTGCGGCCGGAGCCCCTCCCCGTCCGGCGGCCGGTTGGCTGGCTATTGGCTGCGGGGCCGGAGGGGCAGGCGGGCCGGGCTGGGCGCCCATTGGCGGCCGCCGAGCCGAGCCCAGCGCCGCCGCCGCTGCCTCTTCGCCGCGCCGTCGACGGCAGGATGCGGCCGCCGGCGCTGGCCGCGCTCTGCCTCCTCGCCGCCGCCGCGCTCCTCCCGCCGCCGCTGGGCGCAGCCCGCGGGCCGCGCCGTCGGGCCGCTCCCACCCCCACCAGCGGGCCGCCCCCCCTGGAGAAGCGCAGGAAGAGCCCCGCCGGCCGCGCCCCCAAGGGGGCCAGGTGAGTCGGGGACCCCGCGCCCCGGACCTCCCGCCCCACAGCCTGCCCTGTCCTTCCCCGACGGGGCTGCCCGGGCAGGGCGCGCGCCGCCCGGGACCCCCGGGGGCTTGGAGGGGCTCTCCCGGGAGCCCCAGGGGCGTCCCGGAGGTGCCCGGCGCCGGAGAGGCCGAGCCGGGCTGCCCCGTGGCGCTGGCAGCGCCGTCGCCGCGCGCTCGGACCCCCGCCCCTTCGGGCAGCCCCAGGCGCCTGGTCCTCTCATCAGGGAGGAGGGGGCGGCTTTGGCAGGGGCGGCTGGAGGCCCCATCTGGAAATGTCAGCGCTGGCCTGGAGCACCAGCCGCCCAGCCAGGCTCACGTGCTGGCGCAACAACGCCCCTGCCAGGTGGGTCGCTGCTCCTCCCACTCCCTGGAACCAGGGCGGAGCTCAGCTTGGCAGGAGCGACCTGGGCAACCCCTCTTGCCAGCGCCCCCTCCCTCTGGGGCTGCTGTGCTGACCCCCTTCTCCCCCCTTCCAGTTCTGCATCTCCCAGCAAAGACCCCTCCTCCTTTGAGGCTGGCACCAGCTCTTTCCATGAGCTCTGCCCAGGGCTGGCATCCTCTGGTGGCAGACACTCCTCTTCGCAGGCAGGCAGGGCCTCTCAAGCTGCTGGCAGGTGGAAACCCAGAAGGCCGAGCCGAGAGGGAGAGGCTCTCTGCACGTGCTCAGAGGTGCCCTCCTTCCTTTTTGGCTCTTTGGAGACAGTGTGGCACAGCTCAGGCAGGAGACCCCCGAAGCCACTTTGTGGAGGGAGGGTGCGCCTGGATGTGCCTGCCCCCCCATGGCCCCTCGGAGTGAGGTGGGGGCATCCTGCTCCCCCAGGCCAAGCAATCAGTGAAGAAGGGGCCTTGTGCCCCCCCCCCCTGTTCTCTCCCTCTTCCTTTGCTTCATGGAGCTCCAGAGAAACAATCTCCGTCTCCTGCAAATCCACTTAGTAACTTGAGTCCTGGTCAGGACAAGAATGTCAGGAATTAGAGGGGGGGGGGAGAGAGAGAAGAAGAAGAAGAAAGAGGAGTCTGGATGACACAGAGGTGGGTGTCCGGATGAGAATTGGGGAGGGGGCAGCAGCCTTTGCAGCCTTGCTGGAGGACCAGCCTGGGGAAGAGAGAGCGCTGCTGAACATGTGCAGAGTGCGTGGAGAGAGAGCGTGTTCCCTCCCTCCCCTCTCACGCAGGGTCTCCCACGGAAACGGGACGTGGGATGTTTCAGAACAGACAGAACCGGTCTTCTTCACAGAGCATCCTTAAACCGTTGAGATGCCCAGCAGCTGGGAGGGCAAGAACAGGATCAGACCACTAATGGCTGCTCCTCGCAGAACTGGAAGGGCCCCCAAGGGTCGTCTGGCCAAGGCAGGATGGCTGCTGCTTCCCTCCAGGAAGTGTGGAAGTGGGGCCCTTCTGGGGACCCCCCTGCCTTGCCTATGGGGCACCCAGCAGGCAGAAGAGGGAAATGTTGTGGGGGGCGAGATGAGCCTCATCTAGGGAAGCTGAGGGCTGGGAGATTCGGGGCAGATAAAGAAAGTCCTTCTTCCCACAGCACAGAGTTAAACTGTGGAACTCCCTCCCACTGGAGGCAAGGAGGACTGCCAGGAGGAGGAGGAGAGGGCTCTCGAAGGGCTCCCAGCCAGGATGCTCTGCTTCCAGGGCTGGAGGCCGCCAGGCCACAGGAGGGAGAGGATGCTGGGCCAGAAGGGCCACTGGCCTGATCCAGCCCACTCTTCTGTCCCTTGTGCAGAGAGTTTTCCTCTCACCATCATCCCAGCTTCCAGGCAGGAGGGCCTCCAGGTGGGAGAGCAGGAGGCCAAGGCAGACCTGGACCTCTGGCTCTCCAGAGCCGGCCGAACTACAGCTCCCCTCAGCCCCAGCAAGCACGGCCAGGCAGCAGCAGGAGGGGGGAGCTGTGGTTCAGCAACCCCTGGGCGGCCGCAGAGGAGCCCCCGTCCTTCTTCAGAAGCTTTGTGGAAGTGGACCCAGCTGCCGGTCACATGCGCAGCCGGCTGGGATTAGCCTTCCCTTGTGGGAGGGGGGCGGGGGAAGCTGCTTTCGACTGAGTCAGGCTGCTGGGTCCATTGAGCTCTGCACTGGCTGGCAGCCGCTCCTCCAGGCTGCAGTCAGGGCTCACCTCCAGCCCCATTTGGAGAGGCCGTGGGGGGTTGTCTCTGGAGAGAGGCTCTCCTGAGGAGCTACATCTCTTCCTCAAGGGGGGAGGGAAGGGAAGGTTTGGCCCCGTGGGGTGGGGGTGGGGGGGAGTAACTCCTTCTGGGGATCCCAGGAAGTCACACTCAGGTGGGGGCAGGTGGTAAGGGGTCACTGCCAGTGCATCCTCCCAGGACATTCCAGCTTGTGCTGGGCCTAAATGTATTTATTTTTAATTGAGAGGTAGTAAAGGTAAAGGGACCCCTGACCATTAGGTCCAGTCGCAGACGACTCTGGGGTTGTGGCGCTCATCTCGCTTTATTGGCCGAGGGAGCCGGCATACAGCTTCCGGGTCATGTGGCCAGCAGGACTAAGCCGCTTCTGGCGAACCAGAGCAGCGCATGGAAACGCCGTTCACCTTCCCGCCAGAGTGGTACCTATTTATCTACTTGCACTTTGACGTGCTTTTGAACTGCTAGGTTGGCAGGAGCAGGGACCAAGCAACGGGAGCTCACCCCGTCGCGGGGATTCGAACTGCTGACCTTCTGATCGGCAAGTCCTAGGCTCTGTGGTTTAACCCACAGCGCCACCCGCATCCATGTACTGTCTGCTAAAGTCATTCTGGCACGAATCACATGTGGAAGTGTTGGGAGACCCTGGCCCCCCGCCTCCCCCCTTCTTCCTGCACCCCCAGTTAATCCCTCTGCTTTTTGGACTGGCTATCATCCCCCCCCGCCCCCTTCCTCTCATGACCCAATCCTGGCTCCTCCTTCACAGCCTCTCTCTCTCTCTCTCTTTCTCCAGGCCCAACCTCTGTGGGGAGGTCTGCTGCCCCGGATGGTCCCTGGCACCCAAAACTGGGAAGTGCACCAAAGGTACGTCGGGGGGGGGGAAGAGGAGTTGGGGGAGGCAGATTTTCAGGGACAAGGATCCTCCCCCCTCCCCAAAGGCAGGCCTCATCCTGCATCCACTGTGTGCTGCTTCACCATCTCTCCACCGTCTTGACTTGGGACTTGCATCTCAGCCGCATTCACAGAATCATAGAACTGGAAGGGGTCCCACGGGGTCACCTGGTCCAACCCCCAGCCAGAGGTTCGGGGGGGCATCTCTGGGGGGCAGTTTCTTTGGAGCTTGCTGTTTCCTCACATGGCACATCATTTGGCTTCGGTAAATTTCAGACACAGGTAATTGGAGCCACATGGAGAAGCTGTCCTGACGGAGTTTGCACATATTGCAAACTGCCCTGTGATGCTCAGATGAAGGACAATCTAGAAATGGAATGAATAAATAGATTCCTGGCTAGCAGGGAGTTGGGGCAGATGACCCTGGGGTCTCTTCCAATTCTACATTTCTATTTCTATGCAATTGCAGTCTCTGGCTGGCCACAGGGGAAGCTGGTTGGGCAGGAGGGCTCTCCTGGTCATAGAACCACAGCACAGTGGAGTCAGAAGGGACTCCAGGGCTCATCTAGTCCAGCCCCCGGCCAGGATGCTCTTGGGAAGCAGAGCTGGGCAGCAGAGCGGAGACTGGGCTCTGCAGATGACATCTCCCAGAGCCAGGGCTGGAGCTGGATGCAAATCGCCTCCCGGGAACAGACGACCTGTACTTCGTTAAGAACATCCGTCCCATCTCCCATCTCTTGCGGGGGCACAAGTAGTGCCAGTGCCCTCAGTCAAGAGCTTGGGTGTTACCTTCAACGCCTCCCTCTCTATGGAGGCGCAGGTTGCAGCCACAGCAAAGGTGGCATTTTTCCATCTCCGCCGTATTAAGCAGTTGGTCCCTTACCTCTGTCGCCCTGATCTGGCCACAGGGATCCATGCGACGGTCACCTCCAGGCTTGATTATTGTAACTCGCTCTACGCAGGGCTGCCCTTGAAGCTGACCAGAAACTCCAGCGGGTGCAGAATGCCACAGTGAGACTCCTCAGGGGGTCCTCGCTGCGGGATCACAAGCATCCAGTGCTTTACCAGCTGCACTGGCTCCCGGTGGAGTACAGGGTCAGGTTGAAGGTGCTGGTTTTGACCCACGTACCTACGGGACCGCCTCTCCTGGCATGCCCCACGGAGGACCTTAAGGTCCACAAATAACAACACTTTGGAGGTCCCGAGCCTCAAGGAGGTTAGATGGGTTTCAACTAGGGCCAGGGCCTTTTCAGTACTGGCCCCAACATGGTGGAATGCTCTGTCCCAAGAGACTAGGGCCCTGCGGGACTTGACATCTTTCCGCAGGGCCTGCAAGACAGAGCTGTTCTGCCTGGCCTTTGGGCTGGACTCAGTCTGACCCTTATGTTTCCCTCCCCTTATGGTCTTGATTTATCGGCTACTTTAAAATGAGGCTGCATTTTAAATTGAATTTTAACCTGTATTTTAAATTGGGTCCCCCCCTCTCTTTCCCCCCTATTATGTTTTTATTGGTGTTAGCCACCCTGAGCCCGGCTCTGGCCAGGGAAGGCGGGGTATAAATAAAATTTATTATTATTAATTTATTATTATTATTATTATTATTATTATTATTGCAGCCCAGCACCCTCTTCTCACAGTGGCCGCCCAGGTGCCCCCGTGGGAAGCCTGGGGCCAGTTGAGGGAGGAGGAGAGGGTTCCCTTGCCATTCCCAGCAGGGTCTTCAGAGGCCCCCCTTTATCTTCCCTCCGCTGCTCCCCAGGCTTCAAAGCATCTTGCAGATCCACACTTGGCCAGCAGGTGGCAGCAGCTGCCTTTGCGCCAGAGTTCCCTGGGAAACCAGCTAGCTCAGTACAGTGGTACCTTATGATAATAATAATAATAATAATAATAATAATAATAATAATAATAATAATTTATTATTTATACCCCGCCCATCTGGCTGGGTTTTCCCAGCCACTCTGGGCGGCTTCCATAGAAACCAAAAAACACTAAAATATCATACCTTAGTTCTCAAACTTCATCCGTTCCAAAACCGAGGAGCGCTTTCCCATAGAAAGTCATGCAAAAGGGATTAACCCATTCCAGAGTTTCAAAAACAACCCCTAAAACAGCAATTTAACATGCATTTTACTATCTAACGAGACCATTGATTCATAAAATGAAAGCAATAATCCACTGTATTATAAAAGAAATAAGACAGTATTGTAGATGATAAAAATTAAAATTATTATGATTTTCTTACCTGTGCTGTCCTTGTATGGCTGGGGGGCTTTTATCCCTTTCCGCAGTCACACAATCCATCCATCAGTAGCTGAACTGGGTTCCACACAGTTATAAAATCAAATGAACCGAAAAAGCCTCAAAAACAAAAACACAAAATAAATAGCAAAAACAAAAGCCCCAAACTTAATCCATTCCTGAAGTCCATTTGACTTCCAAAATGTTCGAAAACTGATTGGTCCAGACGCCCCAGAAACAATAGCCAGCCGCCACATCGGGCGTTCGGCTTCCGAAATGTTCGAAAACTGGAACACTCACTTTGGGTTTTTTGGGGTTTGGGAACCAAGGTACCACTGTATCTCCAACACTGGCTGGCAGCAATGGGCCTTCAGGCTTTTCCCAGGAGACGCTTCCATGCATTGAAGCAGGGCCCTTCTGCATGCAGGACAGCTGCTCTGCCAGTTGCAATGGCCCTTCGCCAGGCGAGGCTTTGAGCCCTGGGGGACGGGCCCAGGGGGTTCTGCTGCAGCACCCCTCTACGATGCCATGCAGTGCTGTCTACCCCAAGGATGCCCTCCCCATTATTTAGTTTTATTTTATTGCATTGCATTTCTGGCCCACCTTCCCCCCCCCCCACAAGAGCTCAAAGGAGCGTGCCAGGTTCCCTCCCTCCCTCATTTAAACCCCACAATAACCCTGTGAGGTAGCTTGCAACAGATTGATTGATTGATTGAGTTTATATACTGCCCGGAGGTCCCAGGGTGGTTCAAAGGAAAGATCAGAACACAAATACCGTATTTTTCCGTGTATAAGACGCCCCCATGTATAAGACGACCCCTATTTTAAAAAAACAAACAAACCAGAAATTAAGAAATTAAGCTGTTTAGCTTTTTTTTGGTGGTGGGGGATGTGACTTCTGCCAATCGCTCACCTGCCTGCCCGCCACTGTCAATCGCTTGCCACAGCCACTGCCAATCGCACACCTCGCCACAGCCACCAATTGTCTGCCCGCTCTCCCCCACCCACTTGTCGCAGCCACCAATCACCCGCCCAATCGCCGCTGCCAATCTGGTTGCTGCTGCCATTAATCGCATGCCCCCCCCCCGCATTCATTATCCATGTATAGACGACACCCAAATTCTGCCTAATTTGCTTTGGCCAAAAGCATCGTCTTATACACAGAAAAATACAGTAATCAGAATAAGAACAATGCAAAAACAGGGCCTTCTCGGTAGTGGCTCCCACCCTGTGGAACACCCTCCCTTTAGATGTCAAAGTGATAAACAACTACCTGACATTCAGAAGACATCTGAAGGCAGCCCTGTTCAGGGAAGTTTTTAATGTGTGACATTTTAGTGTATTTTTGGTTTCTATGGAAGCCGCCCAGAGTGGCTGGGGAAACCCAGCCAGATGGGCGGGGTACAAATAATAAATTATTATAATAATAACAGACACCCACCCACCCAGGTTAGGTTGAGAGAGGCAAGCCCAAAGCCGCCCAGTGAGTGGGGATTCGAACTCTGGGCTCCCGGGTCCTGGTCTGACCCTAACCACTCCACCCCCCACCCCCCCAGGGTCTCATGTTGTTGGACTAGAACTCCCACCGTCCTTGAAGGTTTTGGGTTTTGCAGAAAAATCTAGACATCCCCATGATGGCTTCTCCAGGAGAGACTTGGGGGGGTGGAAAGTGGGGCGTTCTGCATGCCCAGCAGCCCCCCTTCCCCCAGGAACTGTGGGGAGCCATAGGGTGGCTAGGGGGGCAGAAGGGGGCTCCTGATGGACCTGCTCTGACCTCTCTCTCGTCTTCCCCAGCCGTCTGCCTCCCTCGATGTCGGAACGGGGGCCAGTGCAGGGGCCCCCAGCGCTGCGCCTGCCGCTCAGGCTTCTCCGGCCCCCGCTGTGAGCACGCCACGCCCCCCGGCCCCACGATGACGCCGCAGCCCCCCCGGGTGCCCCTGCCCTCCATGGCCATCCGCTGGCAGCCTCTGACGTGAGTTGGAGAGGGCGGGGGGCCTCCCTTTCAGCCCCCTCCCCTCGCACGCGCTGCAGGGCGCCGCAATCGAATCCTGTGCATGGTTCTGGCTGCCTCGTCTCAAAAGGGATATTGCAGAGTTGGGAAAGGGCAGGGCAGGGAGATGGGGGGCTCTTTACGGAAATGGGGGGCCAGAGGTGCGAAGGTCAAGAGAGTCTAGTCTAGGGGGCAGCGGTTGCAAATAAATTGGGACGTCGGCAGACATGGATTAAACGCTTGCAAAAAGCAACAATAAGGATCATTTTGAAAGGGGAAATAGTTTGTAAGCAGAAATTTGCAATGTAGAAAGTGGTTTGAATGTTTAAAATATCTGTGAAGTATATCACAAGTTTAATTATTTAGTAGTTGGGAAATTGGGTAAAGGGATCTGGAATGTAAAATGATTTGGATTATTTAAAGAACCAGAAGAAGTTCGAGGATTTGCAGGTAGGAAAATACCGTATTTTTTGCTGTATAAGACTCACTTTTTCCCTCCTAAAAAGTAAGGGGAAATGTGTGTGTGTCTTATGGAGCGAATGCAGGCTGCGCAGCTATCCCAGAAGCCAGAACAGCAAGAGGGATCCCTCTTGCTGTTCTGGCTTCTGGGATTCAGAATATTTTTTTATTGTTTTCCTCCTCCAAAAACTAGGTGCGTCTTGTAGTCGGGTGCATCTTATAGAGTAAAAAATACGATATGTTTTCTTTTTGGTTATTTTTTAATGTTAATGAGAAATGTGCGGTGTAATATGGTATTGATCCAATGTGGCACATTGTGCTGGTCCCGGGGGGAGGTTCCCGTGGGGCGAGGTCCAGGACCTGAGTCGAGGGTCTGTAGTCTGTCCTCCAAGGGCGGAGCGGGGTCCAAAGCGAGGAGCTGGGCAAGGACAGGAACTCTGGAGGAACAGGACTGGGTGCGGCCGAAACAGCTCTTCAACGCCGTTGCTCCCGCAACCGGGCTGACTGGCCTTTATCTTCTCTGAGCCCAGGGGCGGTCCCAGCCCCCAGGAGACCCGCCTCTCCTGGCCTTAAGGCGAGCACTCCTCCTGGGAGAAACCAGTTCCCTTCGCCTCTCTGCCCTGAGCCTCTGCAGTTCGGGAGAGGCTGGAGGGTTACTGGACCCAGGGGGAGACTCACCTGTAGACACTGAGTCCTCAACCACCTCTGGAGCCAGAGTGGATTCACCTGGCGCCTGCTCCTGAGGAACCGGCACAGGTGCAGGCACTTCAGATCCAAGGCCCTGCCCCAGTTCAGCCGGCCCTGGAGGCGGGGACTCCTGTGCAGGCTGGGATTCCTCCGGTTCAGCCTCTGAATTGGATTCCCAGGCCATCACACATATATTGGGTTTTTATAATTGAAAACTAATAAAAATTATTTAACAGAAAGAGAGAGAGAGTTTAGTTCAGACTCCTCTTCTCACCCTGGTCAGCCAGAGGCCCATTGCGGAAAGTTTGGAGTCAGGATTCGAACACAGGAGCGCTCTCTCCTCCATCGCTTCCGATGGTTGAGGCCGGGCAGAGCCATCCTTCCAGCAGCCATGGATTTGTCAAAGCCTCTTAGGAAGCCCTTGAGGAGTGTGGCCGTCCCTGTGGGAGGGAGTTCCACAGTTTAACTTTGTTCTGTCTCCCAGAATCTCAGCTTCCACAGGTTCTGGCTTCATGAGAGAGGGAGGAAATGTCTACTCTCTCCATTATTTTTTTCCATGCAAGGCCTCTTTTTGCAAACTTCTCTAAGGCCGCCTGTCCACAACGACTCTGCTCCGCCCTCCCCAGTCGGAGGCAGCGATGCTTCTGTATGCCAGACGCCGCAACCACAGGCTCTGTGTTCGAATCCTGCTTTCTGCTTTCCCTTTGGGGCATCTGTTCAGCCCGGGGGGGGGGGGACTGGAGGCTGGACCTGACGGGCCCCCGGCCTGATCCAGCGGCTGCTTCTTCTGTGGGGCTGGGCTTGGAGGGAGGGGTCATGGCGCCAGAGAGAGGTCGGGGGGCCCTGACTTCTGTGGGGATTTGCTGCCTGCCCCTGACCCCAGGATCGTTCCCCTCAGGCTGGCCGAGCTCCAGCTGGTTCTCCGGCGCCGGAAGACGTTGGACCCCTCTGAGAAGATGGCCACGATCCTGGCGCAGCATCTGGCCTCCCGGCCGAGCAGGGACAACAATGGCCCTCCTGGACACGGCCCCCCAGCAACACCAAGGCCCCAAGGTACTGGGCACGGGGGGGGGAGGAGGTGATCTGTTCTGTGCAAGGATCGGGGCCTGAAAGAGCGTGGGGCCTCCTCTTCTGGGGAAGAGGGGAGCGTGGAAGCTGGTGGGCTCTCCCTGCCGTTTCCTGACCAGTAGAGAGCTGCTTTCTCCTGTAGCTCAAAGCAAAATCCTTAGTGCTGTGCAGAATTAATCTGTGGAACTCCCTGCCACAGGGAGCTGCTTGGATGGCTTTGAAAGAGCGAGAAGGAGGAGGAAGGGAGGGCTTTTGAGGCTCCTAGCAAGGCGGCTCTGCTCTGCCCCCCCCCCACTGGGGAGCAGCAACACTTCTGAATCCCTCTTGCCGGAAGCGTTGCTCTTGCGTTCGAATCCTGACTTTGGCCTGACCCAGAGGCTCTCCTTCGCTTCTTCAAGGAGCCTCTTGCAAATCCGGAGGGGGAGGGCCAGAGCCCTGACGTTATTCTGGGTACCTCCCCCCCCATTGCCCCAGGCCGTTTCAGACGGGTTCCCATGTGCAGCGCAGTCCCCACCCCTCCGGATCCGGCAATTGTTCTGCCCCCCCCCCACTTCTGCCTGAGTTTTTCCAGATGACGTCAGCCTGGCCTGCGATGGGAGGGTGAGGCCCGGCTGGCTGGGGGGGGGAGCGGGACAGCTCTGCTTTCTTCTCCCCCCCCCCAGCCAGCTTCCTCCCTGGGGAGCCTGTTCGGAAGCCCCACCCCCTGTTGCTTCCTAGGAGTGCTCTGCTCAGCCACTCTGAGAGGGGGGGGCGGGTTGCAAGGCCTTTTACGCGCACCCCCCCTCCAGAAGGAGAACACCCACCTTGTCACCCTCTGGACAACCTCATGTTTTTTTCCATGGGGGGAGCAGAGATGAGCTCCTCCTTCAACTGTGAAGCAAGCAGCCCCATCATTGGGGGGGGGGCAACTCAAGACTTGGGAAGCTGGAGAATTTTGGGGGGGGAGCTAGGGTTACTGTGGCTCCTTTGGCACAGATGTTTGCCTCCTTCGCCCCCACCCACCTGCGTTTGCTGGGAGGCTTTTTATGGGGGGGGTTGAACAGCTGGAGCCAGTGGGGGGGGGAGACTCCAAGGCAAAGCTTGAGTAGATCCAGCAGCTGGAGGAAGATGAGGGGGGGCTTTGCTGCATGGGCCCCTCTTGGCGCATTTGAAGTTGGGGGGGGCTGCCTTCATATCCTCGGCGAGGGGGGGGAGCGGAGAAGGAGAGAGCCTCCTCTCTTGAGGAGGGGGAAGAGGTCTCTCGCCCCAGGAGGTCGGTTGGAGCAGGACTCTTGGGGGGGGGCTCCTTCTGAGCTGACAAGTGCAGCGCTGAGCAAGAGCTGGCCGGTTCTCCCTCGCAGGGGGGGCGCTGCCGTTCGGGTTGCGAAAGGGACAGGGCTGCCGGACGCCTTTTTGCGGGGCTGGGGGGGGGCTGGGATGTGGCTGCTCTGGGAACTTCGGCGGAGGCTGCTTTCCTGTTGGCACCCGGCTTGGGGGGGCGGAGGCAAGGAGGGCGGCCCCCGGGTGGGTGCCAAGCCCAGGCAGCGCCGCTCCATCTGGGCTGCGCAGAGCAGGCGAAGAGTTAACGCTCCCAGCCGCCCCTCGTAAACATTGTGCTTGGCCGGGCGCCCGAGACCCCCCCACCCACCGCCCACCCGACTGCTTCCAATTAGCTGGTGGGTCCGTCAGCTTCTGCGGTGGGTCGCCGGCTCCCCTGCCTGCTCCTCCGCCCGTGGCGCCCTCTTCCGCGCGGGGCCATGATCCACGCCCGCCACTCCTTCCTCCCGGCCGTCTCCCTGCTGCTGCTCCTGCTGCTGCTGCTGCTCTGCCGGGACCACCTGCCCGCCGGTGCCCAGAGGGTCAAGGTCCTCTTCACCCCCATGATCTGCCGGGTGCACTGCAGCAGTGAGGGCCGCTGCACCAACCACTGCGAGAGGGGCAATGCCACCACCCTGTACAGTGGGGCGGACGTCGGCCCGGCCGAAGGGGGACCCGGCTTCCGTGTCTGTGAGTATGGCAGCAGGGGGGCTTGGTGGGGGGCTGGCACAGAGCAGGGGGTGCAGCACTCTGCCCTGGGCAGTGGGCAGCATGGAAAAGCGGGCAGCCTCTTGCATCAAGTGCAATCCTGGATCCCGTGTGCCACCCTGGGTGTTTAGTGCCCGCTCCTGCCCAGGTCACAGCCTCCTGCGTGGTTTTCTCTGCTGTGCCAGGCACACCTTTGACCCTCGCCCGGTTCTGTGTCTGGTTGCTGAGGTTTGTGGCTACCCCACCCCCCGTTTGGGCTAAGAGAAATGGGGGGGGGGCCTTCCTGGTGCCCTCACATCATCTGGTCCTTTCCACGGGCAAATTTTTCCTCCCTTTCCTGGAATGTGGTTTCTGTTTCCCAGGAACAGAGACAGGCTGCGCTTCCCCCCCCCTCCTGCCACTTGACCAGATGTCCCCCCCTAGCTGGTCCCCCCCCCACTGCATGGCTCCTCTCCCTCGCGCCCACCTGCCAGCTGCTGCCCTGGCACAGGGACTCTCCCCTCTCCCCCTTCTCTGCCTGCAGCTGGGTGTTGGTGTGTGGAGGTGACCCCAGGAGGGGCCAGGGCAGCAAATGGGTCTGGGGGTCACGGCCTCTGCGGTCAGGCGGGCAGATGGGATTCTCCAGCTGCCACTCCTACGGTCAAACTTTGCAGGGGGGGCCTGCATGTGGGAGGGGGCCATCTGGGGGTGCAGATCCCACCCCCCAGGAAAAATGATGTTCCTGGGAATTATATGAGCGGCTGCTGAGCGACACCTTGCAGGACGGGGGGAGGGACTCGGGGGCCAGGGGTTCGTTGTCGTGTCCCCCCCGCCTCCCAGAAGGCGCTGAGGGTTGGTGGGGGGCCTGCCTGCTTCCCCACCCATGTTAACCCTGCGAGCGCCATCTCTTCCTGGCGCCCCACGAGGGTCTTCTCTCGGCCCCTGGATGCCGGCAGAGGCTCCTTTGGGGGCTGGAGGGAGAGCAGGCGGCCAGCTGGCGCAGAGCCCTCCCCCCGCCAGATGGGCCCAGCTGCCTCTGGCGGGGGGCCAGGGGGGGCTGAGCTCCAGCCCCAGAGGAGGCAGGCAGGCAGGCAGGCAGGGGGTCTTGGCGTCCTCAGGGCCACCCCGTGCCTCAGTTTCCCTGGGCAGGCTTCGAGGGGGCGTCCTGCACGCTGGGGGCTTGGAGAGGGGCGGGGGCTGTTGGGGGGGCATCTCCCCGTCCTCCCCTCCCTGTTGTGCTTGGTGATGCTCCCCAGGCTGCGCGTGGGTGGGTGTGCAAAGCGAGGCGTGGCCTGGCGGGCCTTTCCCCGCGTGTCGTGCCTCGGAGCAGCGCCTGGTCCTTGCGCGGGGGGAGGCAGCGGCCCCCCAGGACGGGACGCAGCACCACATGCTCATTGACGTATTTCACAGCCCACGGGGGTGGGGGGCCTCTGGCGCTCCTGCCCCCGCCACTCCCAGGAACAGAGGAATCCGGCCAGCACGTCCATTAGCTCCGAAGACGCTGGCTGGCAGAAAGGGCTCGCCAGGGCTGCAGCCAGAGGAGTTTCTCTGGGGGATGGGACCCAGGACCTTCTGCCCCATAGATATGGCTCCTCCCTATGGCCTGTGGAGGGTCAGACCTGACCTTCCTGCCCCCTCCCCAAAATTTCTCCTGCTACTGAAGGCACTTGCAGTTTGCAGACTTGCAGCAGTTTTGCTGCTACCATGTTGCTTCTACGGTATAATAATAATAATAATAATAATAATAATAATAATAATAATAATAATGGCTCACTCATCTGGGTTGCCTCTGCCACTCTGGGCAGCTCCCAACAGAATATTAAAAACATGATAAATACATCAAACATTAAAAACTTCCCTAAAGAGGGCTGCCTTCAGATGTCTTCTAAAAGCTGGATAGCAATTTATCTCCTTGGCATCTGAAGGGAGGGTGCCACCACCGAGAAGGCCCTCTGCCCGGATCCCTGTAACTTTGCTTCTCACAGTGAGGGAACCAGCAGAAGACCCTTGGAGCTGGACCTCCGAGCAATGGGGGTGGAGACGCTCCCTCAGGTACACAGGGCAGGTATGCCAGCCTTGCTCTGCAGCCCCAGCCAGGGGTGTGGGAAGGGGGGGGTGGACTGCCTCAGGTGTCATCCCTGAGGGGAGTGACAAAATCCCCCTTGGTCGGATCACTGCCCCCCCCCCGGCACCGATTGCAGCGCTGATCCCGGGTGCACGACATGTGGGGTCTGCCATTCTGCCAGAGCCCAGCAGAGGGACTATGGGGTCCCTGGCGCAGAACCCCCCTTTGGCATCGTGGAATTACAGGGTTGTGGGGGAAGCCAAGGGTCCTCTAGTCTGCAGGAATCACAGCTGAAGAATCCCTGAATGACGGCTGCCCAAGGGAGTCTCCTCCTCACCCCCCCCACCCGCACCCTTTCTTGGCCAGGGGATGTGCAGCTGAGGCCCTTTCCTGGTGAGCAAGAAGGCCAATTTCTGGCCCCGATCATCCTCTTCCTGTGGCCCTGAGTTTCCCAAAGGGGTGGGGAGGGGCTGGCAGCTGACCCCCGCCTTCTGGGGGGCCTCAGGGACTGAGCCAGCTGCCCCCTGCCTCTCTAATTCCTTGTGTCTCCATGGGGTCAGGCCTGAGAAGGAGTAAGCCATGGGCGTCCTGAGAGATTTATGTCCGTCCCCCCCAGGTCTAAATTTTGACTGTCAGAAGTAGACAGAGGACAGCCCCCTTTGGCAGGCGGGAGTCCAGTCCAGGGCAGGAATCCTTCTTCACTCGGCACAGTTAACTTACGGAACTCCCTGCCACAAAGGTGGCCACCAACTGGGCTATTGATGGGCCACGACGGCTCTGCTCTGCCCTCCATGGTCGGAGGAAACAGTGCGTCTGAATGCCAGTCGCCGGGAACCACAGGAGAGGAGAGCGCTCTTGGGTTTGAATTCTGCTTGCAAGTTTCCCACAATGGAATCTGGTTGGCCACTGTGGGAAGCGGCTGCTGGACTGTATGCCC